ATACGATATCTCTGAAAAAGCATATCGTGGAGACCTAATATCGTCACGACGATATATATCGTCATATCGCTCACCCCTAATTGGAACCACATCTTCATCCTTCATATCGAGATATCATGATACACATAGACATGAGGCCTGTACTACGAAGCCAGTTCAACAGACCCTGGATATGTTTGAGTTACCCGGCTTACCTAACCCTAACAAACGTGCTCTCGCTAAGCGGTCCTACGACGCTGGTTATCAACTCGATAAATCAACCAGGGTTTCTCTCTCCGACTGAGAGCGCGTTCACATGAAAGGGGGCGGGGTTAGCAACATTTGACCAATCACAAACATGGACAAGCATACTGACAGCGCAGCGCGTCATACCTCCTGAATGAAAAGTCAACTATAATTAGACAAATATGAAAACTTTAAACATCCATGACTTAAACACTTTATCCAGGATCAAAGCCACATAGCTGCACCTGCAAGGTGAATACAGCTGGTATGCGTACATTAACAGGTTTTATGATATCACTGCCCGTCTAAGACACGAGTGGATCTGACTTTAATTACATTTGTCTCGAGTGTTTCGTCAACTTAATGTGTTGCTTAAAATAATACTTCTGCATACAGTATGTGCAGGGTGTCCGCGGGTCTTAAAAAGTATTAAAAGTTGATAAATCAATTTAGCGAAAATTAAGGCTATTAAAAAGTATTAAACGGCATTTTCCAAGGTATTAAGAAGGTCCACAGAAACGACAACATGAAACTCCCTTTAATTTACTGAAACAACATGTCGGGAAACCCCCTCAAGGTGGCCCCATGCATAGCGTGCCATAAAATGCTGCTTCTTATTTTAAGTTTCGTTGCCTTGCTCTTTATCTGCTGATGGACTACCTGAGAGATATACAGCAGGAGAACACGCCGTCCACCGCGGAGAATAAACAGAAGGGCAACCATGACAACCATGCTCCGGGGTCTTCTTTGCTGCTTTTGGTGTATTTTGTGGCGGCAGCAGCGCCACTTACAGGCCTGGCATATGTACTACAGCGTTTCCAGCATTTCCAGCGGTCTAGTGTGAACGGACACGTTAATGAATTGAATGCGTGTGAGCGGAAGACTTTTTTGCGTTTGCGTATGTGTTTTACTGTATGCGTCCTCGTGGGGCCGGGGTCTAAGCCAAACTATATCCGGTCACAGAGATCTGCTATTTTAAAGTAAGGTCAACACATATCGACCCTAAATATAGTCTATATTAAGAACGATAAAAGTCTTAACATATATATCGTTTTTTGTAAACATATGATAAATGTGCGAGGGTGATGACGTCAGAGCATCGTCCTATGTGCCGGGCTTAGCCCCGGACAGTCCCAGCCCAATTTAACCCCTGGGTATTTGTGAGGCAGCTCCTATATGGCATTACCCCGCTGAAGCTCACCAGCTTCATATATTTCATAGTTCAAAGTTTTGTCAATTGTTTTGTTTATTGGTCAAATACTGGTTTCTAATGGTTTCTGAGGAGTTTTACTGGAATGAAAGAGCACAGAGTACAGAAGCAACAAAGCAGCATACTGCATTAAACCTGACCTTCACAGAGAGGTTGAAGTTCATGTGGAGAGGAGGCTTCAGTAGTCTGACTGCACTCTGTTTAGTTGTGCTATCTTACAATCAATATAGTAAATGTGAGGTAAAGTGTGTCGCCAATGTAACCGGTTAGAACTCGAAGTTGCGATGAGGTCTTAAAATGTATGGAAAGGGTCTTAAAAAAGGTCTTAAAAGGTGTTCAATTTGACTTCAGGATTCCAGCATATACCCTGATGTGACACTGTGAGTTTTGCACGGCCAGATACGGCTCAGCTGACTCAGATAAGGAAATATATGATACATTATGATGTGATATGAATGATAATGGGACACATCAACGTCTGCACTCACAGTGCTGCGGACTGTAGGCTACGTAATGTTACTTTGATCCGGTTACTTTAAGTAAGCTTTCTTAACGCTAATGTTATAATAGTCAGATTGCTCTGAAGATGGGAGGTGATATTCTATTAATGTTCACGTTCACACAGTTGGTGATTTTTGCCGGCCGTCTTTCCTGCGACGGCAGCTTTTCTGTATTTTCTCCTGTAATATGACTTGATCGCTTTAATACTCCGCACACTGAGCTCTGATTGGTCAGCAGCTTTCACTGACTTGATCTCTTATTCTGGAACCTAACCTGCTCCGGACCAGGCTAGCCGCTCAGCATTAGTTACCATGGAGATCTAGCCCGCTAAAAAGAGAACCAGCGTCGTAGGACCGGAAAACCGGAGTTTTCCCTGAAGTTAGCCGCTTAGCCAAAATCCTGCTTCGTAGTACAGGCCTCAGGCCTATGGTCTGAATAGATAACAATAATAATAATAATAAATGGAATTTCTCAGCTAATGTGACACAGCGCATGAAATCAAACTATTGTTTCAAAGACATATTGTACAAATATTAAGGAAAAAGCTGTCAATATAATAATTCTTTCTTTGAATGTGGTACTTGTATGTTCATAGTTGATGAGAAAATGGGACAAATTTGTTGTTGTACCTTTTTTTTTTTTTTAAGTATTTCATTCAAACAAGATTAAACAAAAAAGTACTGACCATATCGTTTTATCATTAGAAAGGTTTACATATCAATATTTACTGTTCTCCAAATAGATGGACTACATCATGAGTTGTATTTCTTTCCAGCTGAAAACATCGCTGAATTCTTCATATTGCTCATATTTAATTCTGTGTTATTATTTTATCTGATCTCATTTGTGCCTAGTTTATTTTTCAACTTGCACGATTATAAATATTTTAACTCATTTTGCTCACTTATTGGATATTTTAAGTGGTCTTAAAACGATAGGTGGCTATTAAAGGTCACATGTCATGGCCATTTCCACTGATCATAATGCCATTGTTGAGGTCTACTAGAATAGATTTATACTGTGCAATTTTCCAAACTCACATTGGTTTCACAAGCAGCATCTCTGTAAACTACGTGTATTCACTCTCTCCACTAAACGGCTCGTTGCAGCTCTTGCCCCCCCCTCCCTGTGAGCCCAGTGTGCTCCGATTGGTCGGGACCAGTCGGGACGTTGTGAATCGCGCTGAGCTCCGTGGAGGTGTGATTTCCTTGTTTAGCGATACACAGCCAAACTCACCCTGAGCACACACAAAGTCACAGCCGAAGTAAAAACAATAAGTGTGGCTTGATATTGAGTAAGAAAAAGGTTGATAAACGCTGTGTGAGAATGGGGTCTGCAGAGAGAATGGGGTCTGCAGAGAGAATGGGTCTGCAGAGAGAATGGGTCTGCATGAGAGAAGCGGGTCTGCAGAGAGAACGGGTCCTGCAGAGAGAACGGGTTCTGCAGAGAGAACGGGTCTGCTGTGAGAACGGGTCCGCAGAGAGAACGGGTCTGCAGAGAGAACGGGTCCGCAGAGAGAATGGGTCTGCAGAGAGAACGGGTCCGCTGTGAGAATGGGTCCGCAGAGAGAATGGGTCCGCAGAGAGAATGGGTCCGCAGAGAGAATGGGTCCGCAGAGAGAATGGGTCCGCAGAGAGAATGGGTCCGCAGAGAGAATGGGTCCGCAGAGAGAAATGGGTCCGCAGTGAGAATGGGTCCGCAGTGAGAATGGGTCCGTAGAGAGAATGGGTCCGCAGAGAGAATGGGTCCGCAGAGAGAATGGGTCCGCAGAGAGAATGGGTCCGCAGAGAGAATGGGTCCGCAGAGAGAACGGGTCCGCAGAGGAATGGGTCCGTAGAGAGAATGGTCCGCAGAGAGAACGGGTCCGCAGAGAGAACGGGTCCGCAGAGAGAACGGGTCCGCAGAGAGAACGGGTCCGCAGAGAGAACGGGTCCGCAGAGAGAACGGGTCCGTAGAGAGAACGGGTCCGCAGAGGAGAACGGGTCCGCAGAGAGAACGGGTCCGCAGAGAGAACGGGTCCGCAGAGAGAACGGTCCGCAGAGAGAATCGGGTCCGTAGAGAGAAACGGGTCCGTAGAGAGAACGGGTCCGCAGAGAGAACGGGTCCGCAAGAGAGAACGGGTCCGCAGAGAGAGAAGGGTCCGCAGAGAGAACGGGTCCGCAGAGAGAACGGGTCCCGCAGCGAGAACGGGTCCGCAGAGAGAACGGGTCCGCAGAGAGAACGGGTCCGCAGAGAGAACGGGTCCGTAGAGAGAATGGGTCCGCAGAGAGAATGGGTCTGCAGAGAGAATGGGTCTGTAGAGAGAATGGGTCTGCAGAGAGAATGGGTCTGCAGTGAGAATGGGTCTGCAGAGAGAATGGGTCTGCAGAGAGAATGGGTCTGCAGAGAGAACGGGTCTGCAGAGAGAATGGGTCTGCAGAGAGAATGGGTCTGCAGAGAGAATGGGTCCGCAGTGAGAATGGGTCCGCAGAGAGAATGGGTCTGCAGAGAGAATGGGTCTGCGGAGAGAATGGGTCTGCAGAGAGAACGGGTCTGCAGAGAGAATGGGTCTGTAGAGAGAATGGGTCTGCAGTGAGAATGGGTCTGCAGAGAGAATGGGTCTGCAGAGAGAATTTCGCCACGATCCCAACTGTCTGTTATCAGCCTGCAGCCAGGGAGGAGAGATCAGCAGAGCTGCATGCACTGAGTGTGTGAGGAAGTCCGTGGATTGGTCAATTTGGACCAATCAGCGGGGGCTTAACGTAACGGCTCCACGGATTGGTCCATTTCGTTCCGGGGACGACATGACATCATGATGTACCCGGAAGAATCAAATGGACAGTGACGTTTCACCAACGAGGCGTTTTGGGGAGGTATTTTCTGTTTTAGAGTTTTACTCGCTACATGGTGTACTTTGAGGGTTGTGACTCTACACACCGTTTACATGCATAAAAACCTCCATAACACACAAGGGGACGGGTACTAACCGGAAAAGCATGACATGTGACCTTTAAATCAACCTGACACACACACGTTGTCGCTGTCAGCTTTAACCCACGCACTCACATGCACTGTCACACTCCAGGTGCTGATGGAGGACCGGCAGACCAACCGGCTGAGCGAGTCGCTCAACATCTTCGAGACCATCGTCAACAACCGGGTGTTCAGCAACGTCTCCATCATCCTCTTCCTCAACAAGACGGACCTGCTGGAGGAGAAGGTGAAGCAGGTGTCCATCAAAGACTACTTCCCTGAGTTCTCGGGCGAGCCCTCCAGCCTGGCAGATGTCCAGCGCTTCCTGGTGGAGTGCTTTCGTAAAAAGCGCCGTGAGAACCAACAGAAGCCGCTGTACCACCACTTCACCACAGCCATCAACACGGAGAACATCCGGCTGGTGTTCCGCGACGTCAAGGACACCATCCTGCACGACAACATCAAGCTGCTGATGCTGCAGTGAGGGGGGAGCGGGGGGGAGCAGGGATAGGTGGAGGCAGAAGGAAAGCGGGTGTCCTGCAGGGAGCAGGCAGCCTCTCTCCACCCGTCCGTCTTCCCTCCCTGATGTGAGCGGCTCCTCTCTCTAGAACTTTGACTGTGTATTAAAGCCACCACTACTACAGCCATTCCCCCCCACACTTCTCTGCCTTACTGAGCTGCTTCACTAAGACTTATAACAGCCACCTTTGGCTCAGAGGCCCCCCCCCCTAGCCTTGAAACCACTGTAAATGACCTCCAGCCCCCGTCCACAGTGAATCTGCACCCTGTATGATGTGTCCTCACTATGTGTTGCTTTAATTCACCCCACACTCCTCTCTGTGCTGCTCTGACCACTGTTGCCGGGGGGGGTTAATCACTGTTACTGAGAAGCTGTTACCAGGTGTTGCCTTCCTGTTCAGAACTTCCTTGGTTCCGTCTCCTGTTTTACATCTGCGTTCCACTGGCGCTTGATGATGACATCACTGTGGGGATTTCCTTTTTGGGCAGTTGAACTAACACACACGCACACACACAGACAGATAGGAATAACCGTTCCAAAGTCCACTTAATTCTAGTTTTTTCTAATCATTTGTTTCTTTTCTAATATATGAATATACTGTTTGTACCTATGTATTTTTCTTTAACTTATATTTTAAAGGGGTTGACACCTTTTTTTTCTGATGGACTCTGTTACAGCTAACTGGATCCATATACCACTTGTAAAGTTAAACAGCGTGCTATAAGGGGAGCTAGTGCAGCGGTGATGGTGACACGTTGTATTTTGCAGTTTCTCAGGGCACATTGTTAACACCACCTGTCTGGTTTAAGCCAACCAGCACCCCCACTCGGTTCCACTATTCTTCTGAAGCTGAACTCTGGCCATCTCCAACCAGGACCACCCTTTAGCAGCAGGGGCTGCACTAACATAGAAACTGAGTCATTTTACCCTTTTATCACGTGAGCTGTACCTACATACATTTAGATATTGAAACATCTTGTGATATTTCCATTCTGCCCATATCAGGATTGAATCGCAATACTCAAACTAGCTGTTTTTAAGGGTTAAAGCATGTGATGCAACTCCCAACCAAATGAGTGAGCGAGTAGCCCTGCACTGAGCGGTGTGGCACCAGAGGGCCTTTCTGTTTCTTCCTATGCAAATACCATGATCCAGATACTTAGCACGTGAATGAAGTCAATTTCTTCTATTGAACATATTTTTATGGCAACCATCTTGTGTGGAAAAAGATCATACCCAAAGTTCCCAAAGGAAATTTGAAAGCTGTCGATTAACAGTTTCCCTGTTGATTTCGTCAGTGTCTGCGTCCCAGTGTCTGCGTCACAGTGTCTGCATCATGCGTCACAGTGTCTGCGTCACAGTGTCTGCATCATGCGTCACAGTGTCTGCGTCACAGTGTCTGCGTCACAGTGTCTGCATCATGCGTCACAGTGTCTGCGTCACAGTGTCTGCGTCCCAGTGTCTGCGTCACAGTGTCTGCGTCACAGTGTCTGCGTCACAGTGTCTGCATCATGCGTCACAGTGTCTGCGTCACAGTGTCTGCGTCCCAGTGTCTGCGTCACAGTGTCTGCGTCACAGTGTCTGCATCATGCGTCAGTGTCTGCATCATGCGTCACAGTGTCTGCGTCACAGTGTCTGCGTCACAGTGTCTGCATCATGCGTCACAGTGTCTGCGTCACAGTGTCTGCATCATGCGTCACAGTGTCTGCGTCACAGTGTCTGCATCATGCGTCACAGTGTCTGCATCACATTGTCTGCATCACAGTGTCTGCATCACATTGTCTGCATCACATTGTCTGCATCACATTGTCTGCATCACAGTGTCTGCATCACATTGTCTGCATCACATTGTCTGCATCACATTGTCTGCATCACAGTGTCTGCATGTCAGTGTCTGCGTCACAGTGTCTGCGTCACAGTGTCTGCATCACATTGTCTGCATCACAGTGTCTGCATGTCAGTGTCTGCGTCACAGTGTCTGCGTCACAGTGTCTGCGTGTCAGTGTCTGCATCACAGTGTCTGCATCACAGTGTCTGCGTCACAGTGTCTGCATCACATTGTCTGCATCACAGTGTCTGCATGTCAGTGTCTGCGTCACAGTGTCTGCGTCACAGTGTCTGCGTGTCAGTGTCTGCGTCACAGTGTCTGCGTGTCAGTGTCTGCGTCACAGTGTCTGCATCATGCGTCAGTGTCTGCATCACAACGCTGCACACTGAGGCGCTCTTCACTAGTCCTGTTCAATTGATCATTTCCATATCTAAGATCCATGGAGTTACAGGAATTTCCAAATGTGCCAGGCAGAATCTTAAGGTAATATGTCTTGCACAAGATTAAAGAACATTGGTTTAAAAATGTCCTTCAGTGTAAATATCCAGTAACTTAATGTTTGGATAGTTGTACATAGTGAAACTGGTCTCATTAAAAGCTGTAACCCCTGAGGGCTCCGGCTGGTTGGAAATGGCCACTCACATCCAGGCCTGTAGTTTCCTCTCTGTCAGACATGAGGACGGATTTGTCCCTTCTCTCTCCCTGTAGGATTACCACTAAGTGTTTTGTATTATTCTGCAAGTGGTAAGGTGGCTCAGTCTGTTCCTTTGTTCAACAAATCATTTGTATTTTCCTGAAAGGTACCTGTGTTACTGCTTTCTGTCTCTCCTCCATTAGTTAAAAAGAAAGGTATTTCATATCCAGCCTGTATGTCACTAATGTCCTCATTGTCCTCTGGACTTCCTGTCATGTTTAACGTGTCCTAACGTGTCCTTATGTGGTTCCTAACAGCTGTAACCGTCCTCAGTCCTGTGTGTGTGACAATGAGCCTGCTGCCTGCCTGAAGGTGTCTTCCTTAGCTTCCTCCAGATGTGAGGACACTTGAAGTCCTCCATGTGGCTCCGATGCTCCAGCCTCTTAGATAGCTGTTCTGTAATCATTTTTTAATCCTCCATTTTGCAGAATAATTCAGCTTGCCTCTTGGATCTGATGTTTGTTCTAGGCTGTAAGGTGGGACTGACGGATCCGATCATTATTGTCCCCTCAGTGCAGTCTTTCCAGTCACCCACTCACAACGTGGGTTAGCATGGAGCAACAAGGTCACATGGCTAACCAGGGTGTGTGTTTTCACAAATCTAAGAGATGAAGCTGACCGCCAACAGCTCAGTGAATTCCTCAAACTGCCAGTGTGTGCATCTGGATGAAGCAGTCTTTGTCTTTGGGACGCACACTGTCCTGCTGCTCAGACAGCCTGCAACCCGCCAGAGGACATGGAAAGACTTGAGGTCAGCAGAGCAGGCCCTGACCCCCACACAGCCTCCCCTCTCACAGGGCGGTGCTTTACACTGTCAGCTCTATAATGGAGCTAAACCACCATCATCATAGAGTGCCGCAGGAATGAGTCCTAAAACCTAGGAATGAGTTAGCATATTAACACTTTCAAGTTGCTAACAAGTGTCTAAATGAGATAACTAAACGTCATCACGATCACGCCCAACATTAGCCGCCTTTAGCTTAGCGGTGGTGACATTAAGTCATGTTACCTTGCTGTAGTTCCTTATAGCCTAACGTTAGCTTTTTACTTTAAAAAAAAATCATAAAGTGGTGTTAATATGTGGAGATGATCCTGCTTAACGAAACGTGGAACTGTCATAGACGTGTGTTTACCAAAGACACAAATCCAATAGACAGCATTCCCATTCTGAACCGTGCATCTTACACTGAGCTCAGTGCTCCTCAGGCCTGACAGCAGAGACCACCTGCTCTGATCACTGCTGAAGAGCAGGAACATTGTTTGAAAGCAAAAAGCTGATGAGTGTCCATTTGGCTGTATTTATATATATATATATATATATATATATATATATATATAGCCAAATGGACACTCATCAGCTTTTTGCTTTATATATATATTTATTTATTTATTGGTGGCTCTGCTGTCCCTGACTGTAAAGGTTCAGTACGCTTCAGACAAACGTGAGTCGTACTCTTCTGCGTGTCTTTGCAGACGTACGCTGCTGAATAATAGTAACAAAAATGACATGTTAGGTCTCAACTAAATTATAATAATCCCATGCAGCTACACTAAGCCACAGATGTTTTTTTAAAGAAGCATTAAATACATAGAGAATTAATACAGTGCCAAACTCAAGGATGTACTCTTCCAGTAATGATCTGTCCAGAACACACTTGCACCTCTTAAGGATTATTTCCATGTATCCATGGTGCAGTTAAACCGTGGTGGTGGATGTAAATGATTTAGAAAATAAGATCTGTGGCAGACACACCTTTATGACACTTATACATGACTGCGCATCACCACCGCTAAGCTAAAGGCAGCTAATGTTCGGCGACATGTCTTTGAGTAGTCTCATTTAAATGGGACGCCATTATCGCCTCTCCTTTGGTAAAGTTGGTCCAGTGTTCCCCAGGTCCTATGAGATAAGACAGGAAGCAGCGGATTGGAGAGACTAAACTCATCATGGCTGACACTTCATACTCACACCTGTTTTCGTTGTGCCATGTGAAGGGGCCTTGAGCTTGCAGTTAGATGATGAGACCTGCTCGGTCAGCGCATGTTCACAGTCTGTCTCCCAGAGCCTTAAGGATTTGACACCAGATCCCAGGGGGCACATAGAGAAGAGTGCTACAGTAGGTCAACACCATCATGCCGGGAACTGACACTATTCTGATTTAGGGAAGAGGCCTTCTTTGATCATTGCTTCCAAAGCTGCATGTGGAGCAGCGGTCCATACATGAACACAGATTCTCGTCTTTCCAACACGCTGCCTTTGCCTTCTGAAATGTCTGATATAGAAGTTTTGTACGCTGCAGCTTCTGCTCTGTGACTTCTGGTTGACAGTAGAAGGTAAAGCTTTCTTTCTTAAACCGTGAGAGGACACTGTCCCCTCCAGAGTCCACACTATGCAACAGCACTGCTCCACCCGTCACTCGGTGTTATTATAAAACTAATGATGATTTGACTGACTGATGATTCTCTTAAAGCCAGTGTCTTATACAAATGTATGTTTAAGGATCTGCCAATATACTGATGTTTAGTGCCTCCTTCTCCATGCTCTGCCTTTACTGCCGTAACAATCCTGTTAACCAAGGTTTTATACTTCATGTACTGTTTTAGGTTTTTTGAAATGATGCCACAGGCAGATAAAGCGTTTCTCCCAGTTTTGATATTTGAAGATAGAAAAGCTTTCCATGTACAGTCTAACTTATGCTGTCTTATCCTTCTACTCCTAAAACAAACATAAATAAACTGTTTGTTTTTTTAAATCATGTCTGTGCTGCCTGATTGGACAAGACCTTTATATTTCATACTGTCGTGGTTTTCCAAAAGATGCTAATACGTTTTACAGCTGCATAAATGTAATGATTCACCTTTATACAGTCTCTGGACTGACATGCTGGGAGCCTAAGACATTTTCTTCAGAGCAAGGCGAAGACGATGACAAATCATACAATTAAAATACAATTTAAACTTGTGTGTGTCAGGCTGAAAGACTGAGGGTATACACTCAAATTGAGTCTCACTTTAAAGAACTAGATGAAATATGTTTTGCTTCAATTAAAATCCATTTGAAACCCCTCGAACCAGTTTGAATGATTTAGTTATTTATCAAGGAGAACATGATGAGGTTTGTGCTGACATGATGGTCCACTACAGCCAGAGCTCCTAACCTTCAGACGGAGCCTGATGGACGCATAATAGACTGTAAGTAATATATATCCCATATCATGTATCAAATGTGGCAACTACATGTATGTATGAGTCTCGGATTATTTAGTATTTCAAATACCTTTATCCAAATCCATACCTCACCTGAATTTAAAGAAATGTATGAACAATCACACAGTTGACCAAATCCCCCACTAAAGCCATATTTTATTTAAAATACATGATGAAAGCAGCGCAGCACTTAACAGGCAGGAGTGGCCTTCAATTCAATAAAAAACAAATGATCATCATAATATCATTATAAACTGAATCAAAGTAAAACGCATTAAGAAAAGGTCCTCTGCGCAGACTGCTCACACAGGCAGGACGTGAGTGGGTTTGGTACGGAGACACTAGAAATAATTGTGATAGTGGATTTCTGCATTCCTCAAACCATCCTTGGTGGCTGCCAGTGTTCGTCGTGGTTCTACAGTTTTAGGGGAAATGCCTTTGGTCTCAGAGGAGGGACTTCTCCTAAAGAGGGGGCTTCAAGCTTTTCAGAATGTGAGTGTCTCTGATGTCGTGCTGTTCACATTACAGACTTGTTGTTCTGATCCACAGTCTGTCTGAGTGAACTGTCCTCAGGAGCCACGTCCAAAAAGTCTGGCTGTCCACTGTCCTGCGACATTTTGTCCTCTTCCTCCGTGCACTTATCTTCCTCTCTGTTGGGCCTCTGTCTCTGGCACATGCCGGCCTTGGCGGGGCCGACCATGGCCAGGCAGACGCCGCTGAGAGCCATGCCCACCGCAGAGGAGAGGAAGGCAGCCCCGTAGTTCTGAGTGA